GTTTTAGAAGCAAGGGGAGGTTATACAAAATATTAACTAGTTTAATTTATGGCAGGTCAATTGACTGTTGAATGTTGAGAGGTGCCAGTAGTTGTTGATTGTGAACTTGAACTTGCGTGCACACACGCCTGTTAACAACCCCATCGGCACTGCTCCACCATATGATGCAACTGCAATTAAATATTGTCTCAGATCACCAACACTTCTGCTGAGTAACTGTTTGTACTTGGAGTTTTTAAGTCACATAAAACAATAATTATTTTTTATACCGTAATATACTTTAAGCTACAAAGGAATGTTAAACTATAAAATAAATTATATAAAGCTATAAAAAGTTGTATTAAGTTACAACTCATAATAATAAGAAAAAGAATGTTGAGCTAGAGTTCACTCTGGAAGAGTACAATAGGTTGAGAACAACTGAGTGATTAGGATTTGTAGCTGTGAGCTACCCAATCTTAGTATAAGTAAGAGCTACATGTACGGTTAGCTCGATATTCAAGTATTTGAGACTGCAGGGTTTTTTATCTACTAGGAGGAGAAATACATACTTTTACCCTTTTACTTATAAAGTAGTTCATTTAACACACAAGTTCTTACTATACTTGACTTTCTATCAAAATTGAAAGTCTTATTTGATGTAACTATAATATGGGCGGATAGATATAAGTATTTATATGGAGATAATAATCAAGTAAAATACTTTAGTATATACAATTAATTTCATATATATTATTTTAAGTTGTCTGATAATTATCCTTTATAATTTTTAAAGCAATTTAATTTAACCATATTCTACTCTTCTTATCTTGACTTTTGTTTTAACTTTAGAATAATAACAGAGAAGAGCTCATCTTCTAGGTCTTTTACATATACTATATATAAGGAAGTAATAACCTCAATATAAATAGACTTTTTAAAATATTTCCTATCTATTACTTCCGTAAATATTTTCTGATAAATTCTAAATCAGAAAGGTTTCAGATGAGTACTCACAAACTATTTCAATTCATCTGCTTACAATTTTAAAATATTTTTACAGTTCAAAATCAAGTCTAATGTTAAGTATTAACCATTTGATACTAGAGATTAAAAATAGATAGAAGAGTTAAGATATGAATCAAAGAGTTAACTAAAGTGAAGATATACAATTATTAAATTTATAAGAAACAAGAAATAATAAATATTACTACTATCGAAAGTACAAACAAAAAGGTTATTATACTTGTATAATGAGACTCCACAGAGTACTATTACATTTAGCAAACCTATACACAGACTAGTGTCAAGAGACAACTGTGATAGGAATAGTAGTTGACATGCATCTACCGAGTAAAGATACTATTAGTTAGGTATAATACCTCAGGCAGATATGCTATGTCACACTAGAAGGACTTATGTACTAGCAAGAAGCTATTGTTACCATATTGGATTGGGTAATATTGTCCAGGGATAAAATTGACTAGCTCTCAACGGTAATAGCAATGCTCCCCTCCTCATCACCCCGCTCCCTCAACACTTCCTAAAGAAATTGCTCTACACCAACCAGAACTAAACCAATTTACTTAAGTTTTTTTTCAATAAACTATGCCTCCTATTCTTCGCAGTCATGCCAAACAGCCTATTCCCTCCAAGCACCTTTCTGAGTTTACAAGGGGACAAATTGTCGGGTTACACGAGCCTCAAATGACCAATCACCAAATTTCCCACTACCTTGACATTCCTCTCAGTACTGTTAAAAGCACATTTGCAAAGAGAGATCAAGAGGGCAAGGAGAAAAATAAAGGTAGAGGAAAATATCCTAAAACTGCCAAGTTGCAGGATGATGCTATGGTAGAAGAAGCTCTCAAAAATCGCCATACCAGCTACTCTGAGATTGCTGAGAGAGTAGTTCCCAATGTTTCTGCTAAGACTGTGAAGAGAAGACTTGCACAAAAGCTTCTTAAAAAGTGGATGGCAAAAGAGAGGGTTCATTTGGATGAGGATCTAGCTCAACAGAGATTGGAATAGGCATTAGCCTATAGGAATTGGACAAGGCAGATGTGGAGAAGGAAGGCAATGTGGGGGGATGAGGTAGCTGTGGAGAGGGGAGGAGGAAAGAGAAGAAAATGGTTATTTAGATACCCAAAAGAAAAGTAAAATAAGGATTGTATTGAACCTACTGCTAGGAAAGGAGAGAGAAAGATTAGTCAGATGATGACTGGTTGTTTCTATGGTTAAACTCATGGTCTTTTTTTACCTGTTTTTCCTGATCCTACTTCTGCTGGAGGTGGAGTGACTGGAAAGTCAATTATTGATGTTTATGATGAATATGACTTTCCAGGGATATGGGAGGATATCAAGGAGCATGTTGGAGAGGAAGAGGTATTTTTGATCATTGACAATGCTAAGACTCACTTGCCTTTCAGGAGATGGCTCAGGAGAAATAGAATTTCCCTGATGGAAATTTCTCCCTATTCACCAGACCTCAATCCAATTGAAAATGTTTGGTCTCTGGTGAAAGACAAGCTTCATAAGCACTATCCTGAGCTGTTTCTCCTGAAGGGCCCTGTCAATGAGATCCAAAAAATTATAGAGGAGGCTATCACTCATTGTTGGGAACTTCTGGACCCAAAGGTTGTTGATACTTTGGCAGGATCAATGGTGGATAGGGTGGAAGCAATTATTAAGGCTGATGGATGGCATACTAAATATTAATTTCTACTATGTATTTATATTTTTTAATTTTCTTTTGGATTTTCATGATAGTGGGTTGGTGGGGGAGTGTGGTTGTTATCACCAAAGATTTTCCGGCCATTGACAGCTAGTTAATTTTGTCCCCGGACAATACAAGTAGTCATTTTAGGTATTACCCTGAATGGTGTAATGGTGAGTCTAGGTAGAGTTACCCTACCATCAGACAAGGGTTACCCTGCCTTAAACTACAAGTTACACTGTTATGGAGCCAAGTTACCTTACCTTAAAAGCAACTTGTCACGCATGACTTCAGGGAAAGTTTCTAGATTGGTTGTAAAGAAGAAACTATATCACATGTTTAAATCTCAGGTGGTGTGGATCACTTGCACAAAGCCTGTTAAGCTTCAAGTAAGTTGTAACTTGGAGGTGTAGTGGCTAACACAACTCCTCTAGCTCTACTATAAGTCGCTAGTATTATGGGCTAGTGTCTGAAGAGTTGCTATAAGTCTAGTAAAAGTCTACAAGCAGAAACACTCTAGTAATACCATATACGCTTATTCTGTCCAGTTAAGTGGAAGTTGTCCAAAGGATATATAATGGGGAAGAGGTGAACCTAGAGAGTGGTCTCTAGGTAGTTTCGTGCAAAACAGACCACAACTGATAGAGTAATACCACTCTGAAGTAAGAAGTAGTATGAAGATTACAAGAGGCCTCAAGGTGAGGTAACCATAGTCCATTACCCCAGAGGTGTAATAGTATTAGAGAAATCATTAAGGACTCTAAGACAATAGTCTGTAGTCATAATGAGACCTACTTCTAGGAGCGTTGGCTGTGGGTTGTGCTTATTAGTAGTTAACATCAAAAGGGTTTAATCAGAGGAGCTACATAGCCATCATCTGGAATAATATGGAATAGAGTAGAACTAGATAGATGTTCAGGGGCTGCGAATACTTGTAGAAGACTAAGTAAATATGGGTAGAGAGTCCCATAGTTGGTATTACATACACTCTGGCATGATAGCTTACCACTAACATGTCCACAATAAGAAGAATTTTTACTCATATAGTTGAATTGTAGATACAACAGCTACAATACTTCTGTTGAGTGGATGTTAGTAAACCACAGAGTAGTCTAGTTTGCTATAGAGAATCTTTGGTCCTACCTGTTGAGGTTGACTAGACAGCCCAAGGGAGTTGAGTGCTGGCAAATGCAGAGTAGTAATGTTGAGAAACTGGCAGTATACAAAATCTACCTAAGTATATACAAGTTCTCATCTACTTTGGCAAACAACTACCTCTCCAGATCAGGACTTAATTGAGTAAAGCTGTGGCTTAATGATATTAAGTTTTACCATTTTGTTTCTTCAAACTCTAATGCTAAGACTTTGAAATTTTATTATATTTATTCCCAGAAGAATTCATCTCGGTATGGTGGCACCCTCAGGATCCATTTTCCTACAGTCAGTCCCTGTTGATATAATGATATAAAAACAAGGGAAATTCTAGTGCATGTTTTAGACTGCACAAATCCTATGATATTCCATGACAGCCATGTTGCATCAGATTAGATGGAATAGATTGTATTTTTTTATCAGATGGATTAAATTTGGAGATTGTTGCACAGTACATATAAAGACGTGTTTTCAATCGATCAACTTCTCGAGCCAAGCATCCCCTTAAATTAGTACAAGCCGAGCACCACCTTAACATTTTCATATAAGACTATGGTAGTGATTAATCTTTTAAATGGTGCTAGAATGTCGCAGCCGCAGTGGGGATACTATGTTGAGTCACAATAGTATGATTAAGCTACAAGGTTGGATCGAGCCGCAAAATTACTTTCAGCCACACAGTTATGTTCACCCACAATATAAGCCACAAAGTGCTATAATGTCATAATGAACTACCGGTACTTGTATCCATCACTCCGGAGGAATAACCAATCTTATGAGCGAGCGAGCAGTCAGGGGTTGTGGCGGCTAGCCATAACCTTGGCACGAATAGTAATATTTGAGGCTAGGGTTCTATGGTATGTTTCGATTTCGTTTAATGCTTCGGACTAAGACAGCACAGCGCCGTAGACTATCGTACTGTACGGTACCGTACTTGTATCTTACGGTCATTCAGCAAGTGGCTGCGGTGACAAGTGATGCGTATTCAGAGCCGACCAAGCCGAACTTTTCCGCATGGGGAGCTGTGGCGGAGCCCGCAACGCATGGGGCTGGGCGGTTTTAGCATCCAAATTAGGCTAAGGTTAGGGTTTCCTCTCTTCTGTCTATGTTAGATCACCCCTCGCCGTCGCCTCCGATCTTCCTCGAGTTTTCCAACCTTCTCCACCCACACCGTACCACTTGAGCTTTTTCATTTTTATTTTTTATTGCTGGTTCTCTTTATCGCAGTGTCATCCCTTGCTCCACATTCTTCTTGTCTCTCCTGTGCTCAGGTTCCTGATCTGTCCGTCATGGGTCCGAGATATGAGAAGGTTTGTGTCCTTCATCCAATCCATGCAGACCTTGTTTGCTGCCCAAGGCTTACTCCATATTTCCTTAGATTGCTGCTGAGGACGATGAGGACCTCGACATTCATGGAAACATAACAACTGGTTCTTCGGTATCTATCTCATCCCGACCAGGTGTCACCACCATTCAGATACCCAACTCCCCCCCTCCTTCTTTCCATTCGCGTTCGGGCACACCCGACTCGGACTCCGCCCTATCAGAATCCTTTGATAGTCTGAGTGATGGTGAGGACGATGATATGAGAAACGTTCGAGGTTCCCAAAACTCCAACTTTAACCATGAGTCAATACCCCTGGCACCGTCGGCAATGACCGGACTGTCTGCGCCTGTATCCTCCGCCTCCACTTTTGCGGCAATGCCAGGAAGAGCTGTCGGTGGTGGGCAGACAGATGGAGTGTTTGCGAACCTAAGCGCGAAGCCCACAGTGGCTGAGAAACTCGAAGAACACCCTCCTGTAAGTCTTGACAAACGTTGATTGGAATTTGGTTCTCATGCTCGTCATTTTGCAATAGTCATACGAGCAAGCGGCCGCTGATGCAACGCCCCCGTATTGGGAAACTACGATCCTTGCCCCTGGCATGTCCGCAGACGAGGTTTTCATTGATGGTTTACCAGTTGGTTCAGTTTTTGCTTTCATTTGGAACGCAATGAGTATGATACACTCCTCTCTTGATAGAGTGGATAGTGCTAACTCCTCATCAGTTTCAATGTCATTCACTTTCGTCGGATTTCTTCTCACTTACCTCCTTCATACAACTCACGCTGCAAAGAACGGATCTCGTGCTGGGTTAGGGATTACACTAATTCAATATGGATTTTACATGCGTTCCCGTCCGGATGACTACACTGGCGGTGCCCCACCCCCGGAAAACGAGCCATCAGAGCCGAATTCCTACGACTTTGGGGTTGCTGATATGGTTACAGACACCCCCGAAGATGGCATAGGTCGAAACGAATGGATCAGCTACGCGCTGATGGTAGTCGGCTGGTTCATCCTTATCAGATCTGTGAGCAGCTTTATGAGAGCCAGGAGGACAGAACAAGTTGTGTTGGCAAGCCCAGATCGCGGCCTCGGTACGGCTGTTATTGCTGACGACGAACAACCTGCGCGAGCAGTATAATATCCCTGGTTGTGGGACTATTCTCCTTTCCTTTCACCATACTCTCCTTTATCTATTCCCTGGGCGCCTGGGCTGCAGGTCCAGGCATTCTTCCTCGCGTCTATTGATCCACTTGCCGCCACCCCGCGATCCGGGCAGTTTTGCTTGTGTGGGTCTCCTTTCAGGTGAGGATGGAATGGTGTGGGAGGGTTGGGCATAGTCAATTAGCTCACTGATGGTCTTTCTTTATCCTGGAGCGATTCCTTTTTGTTATCCTCGTCGTCCCCCTACTCAATGTCGGGTGTTCTCTTTTCTGTTTAGCTTGTTTCGCTACTGGTAATTGCTTTTTCTTGCTCTCTGAATTATGTAGAAAATGGGATTTGCATGTAAGGTATATTGAAATCTCTCTTTGGCTTACCATTCCGTGAGACCAAACCCACTGTGCACAATGGCAACTTACCGAGCCCATATAAAATTATTTTAGGTGCTTTGTAAAGCTATGAGCCTTGAGAATCGATTTGGCTCTTATTTTCAGCTTGATCTTTACGGGTATCCTATACCTTGTAAATTTCCGTGCTGTATCGGAAGTACAATTAGGTACGTATGTAGCTGCACTACTTGTTCGTTGACTTGCAGACGGTACTACTTGTACCTGTGGTGCAATAATGACGTTCCCGCGGGGTTCCATCCCCCCACAACAATCACCCTTTTTCCGCCACCATTCGCTATTTAACCGCCAGCAGAGAGAGGGTTGACGTTGGTCCCCTTACCTAAAAAATCAACGGATCCTTCATTACCGGTGTCTGATCGGCTGAATTTTAATTATTCTGCGATTCTTCAAGTTATTCAAAATGAGTTGGAGATGCTCTTCTACCAGCAACGAAGGTCTTATATCCAATCTGTTTAGACATGGGCTCATCAAGAACGATACTGTACGGGAGGCTATGAGAAAAGCGAGTTGTCACACAAGATCTATGCATCTATGAGTTTGGAAGAACTGAAGAATATAATCTAATTATCACAGGTTGACCGGGCTCACTTCAGTCCCATAATGCCGTACGAAGACTCCCCCCAAAGAATCGGATACGATGCTACTATATCCGGTATATCCTTCCACTATAAAAATCATGTTTAAGCTCTCCTCTAATGGGCTATATATTGTAGCACCCCATATTCATGCAAACGTCAGGCATCATTTCTTCGTCACTTCTCCCAACTGGTTCACCGAGATCCGTCCCACTTGGTCCTGCCTGGGGTATGCTGATATGTGCTTGGTTTGATCAGGCTGCTGAAGCTCTCTTAGACCGATTGGGCCCCGGCAAGACGGTTCTTGATGTCGGAAGCGGCAGTGGATACCTCACAGCTGTCCTGGCGCACTTAGTGGTAGGGTGTCCATGGAATTCTGTTATTGCTCTTTTTCGTATACAGTTGTCAGAGGTATTGACTGTCCCAGGCCCCGGGTGGAGTAGTAGTGGGTATAGAACATATCCAGCAATTATGCGACCTCAGCACAGAAAACCTAAAGAAAGACCCCGTGCACTCCAGAATGCTTCAAGATGGGACAATAAAAATCATTCGAGGGGATGGAAGGCTTGGTTATCCAGAAGGTGGTGAGCTGCTCCATCTAATTCCGAGAAACATTTATAGTTTCGGGACTAATATTCGATAGGACCGTTTGACGCGATTCATGTTGGTGCTGCAGCATCTATCATGCCACAGGCGCTTATCGATCAACTTAAGGCACCAGGCAGGTATGTGCCTACAGATCTTCCACCCCATGCGAGACGATTGATTACTTAATTGACCCAATGTGCCATAGGATGTTTATACCAGTTGATGGAGGCTTCAGTCAGTATATTTGGCAGGTTGACAAGGACGAGGGAGGAAACGTAAAGAAGGAGAAGCAGTACGGAGTCCTGTATGTTCCACTCACCGATGCAAAGGATTTCCGTGACGAAAATTAGAGATGTAATAATATGTGTTCTTGATTCTCTCGAATACCAATTCCTCATTGTAGCCTTTCAGGTATCCAATAATCAAGAAAGTCAGGTGGGTGCAGCAGTGAGCTTCATGATAGCCAATTAATATGGAGTGACCTCCTGTTGGAAACTCCCAACCCGCAGGCTATCTACCGTACGTGGACAGGGCAGAAAGGGTGGGATACAGTATGATGCGAGTATATTACCGCACTCAATCACATTACGAGTCTAAACATAGTTGGCTTTCATCCCTTCATCCCTTCATCCCTTCATCCCTTCATCCCTTTCCCTTTCCTCTCCCTCATCCCCCTCCACTTAATTTTCTTCCTCTCTTGGTTTCATATTTGTGCAAAACGCACGTACCCCAGAACGGCTGATATCTACGATATGATAAACATTTTTTCATAAATATCCCTATACTCTCTAAAACCAGCATCTCTTTCCCTGCGAGAGCATAGAGAAAAAGAAAGAATTTGAATAAATCAGTCGAACAAGAAAAAAACAAGATCCTACAATAATTATTATTCCGGTTTGGAATCTGCAAGTTATACTTATCTGCGTGAATACTCGAGTAGCGCAGTGATGAGCACACTGGTGGTTCATGGAACCTGCCGAACACTTCAATTTGAGGCTTGGCAAAGATTGAGTTTCATTCTTGGCACGAACCAACTTTCTTTCCATCTCACCCCACAGCAGCTAGGTTAAACAACATTCATCTTTCACCATCATCCATCCATCAGTATCAACGCCACACTACCATTAGTTGTGACAAATTGTAATAATTCGGCAATGGTTACGGCAAAGCCAATTACAATTTCGGCGTCTGCTGTTGGGGTATATTTTCCTTTCTTATCTATCTCCTTCTGGGGGAAGCAATTAACCTGACCGGCAATAGGACCGTCTGCAATCACACTCTCGCGAATTTACCTCCCTGCTGGAGCTAATTCCGGCAAAATATTACTATGGTGATGGAGATAATACGGTAAGCCTTCCACCTTTTATCATGTTAGTTTACTTTTTCCATTCTGGGGGAGAGGCTCATGCTATTCACTACTATAGAGCGAATGGAACAAACGCAAGCAAACCAAAGCAAAAAGCGTTATTTCGAAAAAGGCGAGGTTGGACCCTGATGCGCCCGGTACTGGGCTTGAATCCGAGCCTAAGACTGTGGGTGGGCGGGAGGAGAAGTTCCAGAATATGAGTCAGAGGAAGGAGCGAAAAGGAAAGAAGTCTTCTGCAATTGTTGCACCTGTCAATACTACTGGTGAGGGCGAAGATAAGGATGGTGACAAGGGCATGGAGGGAGAAGCGCAAGAAATCGCCTTGGATAATCTCGCTTTTGCGGCGGAGTTTGATGCTTCCTCAGTGCTACCTACTATTTCTATCACTGATAGAAAGTATGGTCTTACTACAACTGCCACCGGCCCCGAAGGCGCAGTAATAGCAGCAGCTCGAAAAGCAGATCAGTGTACCCGCCTTGCTGCAAAGATCCAAGTATTTAAAGGAAGGCGTAGTCGTTATCCACCTTCTGCTACTACTGCCGCTACTTCAACGAATAAGTCATTCAAGAGGAAAAACGCCGAAGCCAAGGGATGTGGGAAGGACCAGGGACTCCAGAAGACTGGCCAACCTTCGTGACGGCTGACTGGCCAGTAATGCAGACCACTAGTGTGGGATATTTATAAACTATAAATTATAGGATATTCTACATATTACACTCCTGGTATTTCTGATTCAATTCGACAGAAATATCAAGTCTCTACCCCACCTTTCTAGTTCCCTCCATCGTCACTGCTCGCCATCGCTGTGCTTGACTCGACTTTTTGAACAGGCTTAGCTTCCTATCAATCTATCCTTTCGCCCATACTCGCTTTTCAATCTCGTCCATTCACGCCTCAGATGGGCTGGAAATAATGGGTTGATTTCAGACAAATGGGAAGAAAACGAGGGTCTAATCGGCGGTGAACTATCCAATTGATATCCGGAAGGTATTGAAGAAATCCTTGCATCCAATTTAGGTGGTGTCTTGTGGGGGAGCGAACGGGCAATTGACTTTGAAACTCAGTTAGACCGATGACGGTCAAGGACTGGTGTTTGCGGACCTTTGTTGGGTCGTCTAGAATTCTTTCTACTAAAATTCTACACCTACCTATTCACCGCTAGTATCAGGCTGAGTTTAATGCGTTGTAGGAGCGATTAGTCATGTCTATCTAGACCTAGTTACGAAGGAAGATCACGGCACCTCTTCATCTCATCTGAAAAGCAATACAAAGCAGAAATCAAAGACTCAGGACTAGGGTTTTATGAGACTTTGACTCAGAATATGATACACCTAGTGTGCGTCAAGCTCCATACATTCCATGCGAGTGTACGTCATTTTCACCTGCATCCCTCATTACCAACATAGTCGACCCAATCCCACCCCTTAACCCCGAATCCCTTGACTCCCCATCCTATCCTCACCACTATTACAACATGATCGACGGTCAAGTCGAACAAAAGAAATCGAGGGAACAGAAGTTTAAAAAGGTTAGAGAGAAGGGACAAGGAAAAAGAGTATAGGCAAGCTACTAATACAAAAGAACGAACACATGCTTTTAACCAGCGCCAAACCTATGCTAGAACTCCGGTATGAAATAGAGGCACTAAGATAAAACGAGAAGACAAGGCATTCGATGAGAAAGGGAAAACTATATGGCAGACATGTTAGTTCGGCACTCCAATTGATCGGAAACACGCGAGACATTCAAGGCATATATACTTACAATGTTTATCTTCTGAGGATATTATGCTGCTCTAGATAAGCATAACGCATAGAAACCCCCCAGGCGAGAGCAACAGATCTGGCAACGCTGTTTCCGACGATTTTGAATGCCTGTGCATTATTCCCGAGGAGGACCTCATCATCCGGGAATGATTGCGCACGGCGGGCTTCCATGACTGTTATGAGGCGATCCTCCATCGGGTGAACCCAGGTACCCGTAAAGGCGCATTGGGGGGTCAACTGAGTAGTCACAGTACGGCAAAGGCCATCTTCGTCAAGTCTGGACCAAGAGCGGCAATTAGGAACAAGCTTAGTTTTGTTGGTAACTTTATCGCCAAAGAGCACTGGCATCACGCCTGTATCCAGCGCTTTCCTCCAGGTTCTATTCTGCCCGAATTTTGGAACGTGGGAGATCAAGGTCCTGGTTAGATTATTCTCTGTGCGGGAGTGGCGGTGGTCGGGGAATGGGATGCATGCACCGACGTGCCCAGTGCCGAGGTTTGGAAGGCCTCGCATCCCATTCTTAAAGGTAACAAGGCTGTATGGACAGGGTCCCTCGATTTCTCTCTGGGCAAACTTGTCTCCATTGGGGGCGGTGAAGAGGCCTCTCTTTTTTACAAATGGTCCGTGGTCGTGACTGCGAGTTGGGCGCGGCGGCAGACCCGTTCCTGGGGCGGCAATGCTTAAAAAAAGTCTAGTTCTGGACTGGGCACTCCCAAAAGACCAGCTGTCGAGAGTGAATTGCTGAGTCTGATAGCCCATCCCGACAACACAGCAGACAAGCTGAGCAAATACATTAACTTCCACCCCGGTGCTAAGTTTCCTTGTGCTCGCAAGTCCACCCACATTCTCGAGCAAGGCGTACCTAGGACGAAAGACGTCCACAGCGGTAGCCACCGAGGCTACGAGGGAGCAATTCCTCAAACCAGTATCGTTATTTTTAAGTTGGTTTGCATTCGAGAAACCTTGGCAAGGACTGCCAGCGCTGATAAAGTCGACCTCGTCCTACATCACAATGTCAGCAACAGAAGCAGGGAGCCGATTTACGTCAAAAGCGGATAGCGTACAGGATGAGCAACCAGATGACTATACTTGCCACGAATCGCATCCTCCATGTAGTTGTTCACACTTCCCAAATACAAAGCAGTGTCTTGGTTACGGAGGTTCGCCCGATATGTGGCTATCGCCGGAACATCAATATCAACGGCCCACTTCATGTCAATGACACCACCCTCTTCAAGACCTCTTCCAAAGCTACCCCCCCCACAGAAGAGATCCATGCCTTTCATGCGTGGTTTATCATTGGGCAACGGAGAGTTGATACAATATCCCTCCCGAAGGGATTCTGGGAAACTATCGCGGGTGTACGGCTTGATCTTGCGATCTGTATCTATGAATGCACTCATGATGAAACAGTCGCCAGTTCCATCACGGCCGTACGGCACCGGAATCTTCCCGGCTTGAACATCTGCCTCGGAGACAAATCGGACGTGACAACGCCTATAGATAAACTCTGGCCCCACGGGCTTTACGGCCGGAGTCCACAAAACCTCATTCGGCTTAGCTTTCGGGTCGTACCGGCTTTTCCTCTCAAAGACGCGGATAGCAATCATCCCTTCCTTACTATTGAACGCATGGATCATGACGGGGTCTAGTGAATCGCGATCCTGCTTCTTGCTTCCAAGCAGGACGGTATCACCAACTTCGAAGTTTAAGCTGACTTCTTCGTAGCAAGTGATTCCTGGACCGCAGGCGCACGATATCAAGTCGGCCTTCGTCAGAGTAATAAACGCAGGATCTGAAGTGCGGTACTTTTGGCGAATGAAGAACTCTTTCCCGGACTCACCGGGGCCGACCATGAAGTCTACAGGGACAATTCCTATCAAGTCACTGAGATGTATTGGTTTCTCGTTGCAATTGCAATGATCACTAAAAAACAACTACACCACTCATTATTAGTTCCTCTTTTCTAATCTCGAGGGTGGTGGGGCAAGACCATATATGGGCTGGCATTTATCTTACCTCATTGTGGTGTGGATATTTTCCCTTCGCAAGAATGGTATCTTCATGTGCGTACAGCCATATGACTTTCAATTCCGGTCCCAGATCAGGCTTGTTATCGCCCCGATCAGTATCAATGCTGTGCACGTAGGCATACCAGACCATAATCTTCTTGCTCCACTCAGTCCCCTCCCGTCCAAGCGCTACGACAGTACCTGGCTCAACAGAGGTGACCTTCGTGCGCAGGATATTTCCTGTCCTGTCGCGCTTCATACGACTAGCGATAGGGATAGCGACGGCCTCCAGTGTTGCTCCAATATCTTTCGGCGGGGGAACAACTTTCTTCAAATTCTCACCGAACATATGGTCGAAACACTCATGGACCCAAGGAGTAACTACTGTTTTCCTCTCCACTGTTCCTGGAACGGGATCGATGGCGCTAAGATATCTGACCTCTTCCCAGAGCTTGCATTTATTCAAACCAGTAGAGCCGTTGAAGACTTGATTCCATAACCAGTCGCGATGAGCAGCTATGGCCTGGCGAAAATCATCCTTGCCGTACTTTGCATGCCACTTTTGAAAGGCACCAGATTCCGAGTGATGGACCTTAAGCCAGTCGATGAAGTCGGATTTGAAATCTAGCAAAACAACATCTTCCTTTTCAACCATGAAGTCTCTATCGGTTACACCACCAGTTAGTTGGCCAACAAATGATTGGATGGACACGAAATGCGGAAACTTACATGACATGCTTGGACAAGTTTGCTAACCAAACAAATGCTTCCCAATACTCGGTATACTCGTCGGACGGATTCTTCAACTCGTACCAGGTATTGTTATCTCTTGCGCCGGGTGTCTGAATCCAGATATTGCCTGAGACGTCATGGGACTCCTTGTTCTCATAGTTCCCAACCGAAAGGAGGGAGAACGCAACACCCTCCACATAGTGACTCTCTCCGGCCTCGTCGCTAAGCACTCCATCAAACAAGAGGAGATTATCGCCACGATGGACATTCAAGTTACTGAGCAGTGTCATTTCGCCGCTCAATCGCTTGCGAGTTGGGTAATATATGGTGAAGCGATCGAGGGAGAAGCAACTAAAGTCATATTCAGACATAACAACATCGCCTGCCCCATCTGCCTCGGCTTTCTGCAGGCTGTTAGTATGGGCCACCTCAAGCTGAAGTGGGGGCAGACATACTAGAAGCTTTGCAAGGACTTCAGTTTCTTTCTCGATGGGCATTCCAAAATCAAACCCTTCGTACTGCGATTTTGGAAATGTCAATCGCGGAATGGCAACGCCTTTGAGGAAGCACGATTCGGTTACATTGCGAACCACAGTCAAGTTCTGCTCTTCCTCTTCGTCTATGAGATCGTCGTTATCCACGGTTTCGGTCATCTCCTCGAGACCTTCCGGTGCGACAATATCCCCGAGATCACCGGGGACAGCAGGTTCCTCTGGTACGTCACATTTCGTTGCGGATTGTGAGGCCCTCTTGCCCTTGTATTTGCCATTGACTAACTGGGTAGCCTTGGCGGCAATAGCTGTCTTTGCGCGCTTTGCCGGAACATTGACTTCCACCGTACTCATAATTGTGCGTCTTCTCTTTCCGGACGCCCAAACTGCACTCTCGGTTTCAGTAATCTCCGGGGTAGTATCCGACGGTATAGAATCATTAGAAGTCCCCCCGCGCTTCCTTCCAGCATACCCGCTATCGCCAGCCGGCGTTTGTGATTGCGAAGACATGGAGACCAGTTGGTTGTTTCTGTGATAACAAATGGAGTCCCAAAATATGAGTACGGTATATTTTCGTTGTCTAAGAAAGTTAAGGTTGTGGCGACGGGAGGGAGGGATGTGGAAGTGGAATTGACCACTGCGGGGATGGAGGGAAGCAATGATGGAAAGAAGGTGAAACGAACCAATGATGAAATAGGAACTGAAGGGGTGAAATGTGAAGAACGATTGAAGGGGTGGGGGGACGTCCAGTGTGGTAGGGTGAAGAACAAAAGAAAGGTGATGGTAGATGAGAAAAAAATGGTTGTGTAGAAGGTGGGAGATAGAGGTGGGATAGTAAACAGAAGGGATGGGGGAGGGTGACGAAGACAAGGAGGGAAAAAGGTCAGAAAGAGAGAAAAATGAGGATGAAGAGAAACAAAATCGCCAGGGACGAGTACCAGCGCAATTACTCCCAAGTAATAATTAATTGCGAACCAAGCCGCCGGAGGGAAATTCTCGAACAGCGATGGTAGGAGCGGCAAGTACAGCTACAAACCTGAGGGTGGAAATGAACGTGCGAAAGGAAGAAGGTAGGAAGGAAAGAAAATATGGATCCCGAATCCCTCCTCCACCATTCACAATTCACAATTCACAGCTGAAAAACGATACGAACCTTAAAAAGATAAAAATTATTTTGCGATCGACGGCCCCGAAAATTAATTCCTTGCACCCTTTGCACGAGTACCCGTCGTTTCTATGCTGACTCCCAGCGCATAGGCTGTATTACAGTGGTGCACAGTCTCCCTATCGTCGTAACTTCGTGGTCTCGTCGCGCCTTGGTTCGAATTCAATGCCAAAGCCTAGAAAGAAAGAAACAGAGAAAAAGAAAGAAGAAAGAGAACAGATGTTGTGGTGTTGGCGGTGGTTGTGTGTGGTCGGGGGCAGGATGTTGGGGAACAGGAGTGGGGGGAACGCGTCGAGGTTTCGGATGTCGTGTGTGGTTGGCGTGTTTTGTGCTCGTGTATGTTTGAGCGACGGGAAGACCTGATGGTAAGGTAAGATGCAGTGTGGAGACTACCGAAAGGATATCTAGCCACTTTTTTTTTTTCCTGCCTCATGCTTTTTGACCTTCTATTCTTTGTCGCTAGATTGGATAGAACTGGTTTGGGTATCAAGTGGGTAAGCTGAAGGTGCACTGTACCACCACATTGAACGGGGTTCAAATAGCCTCAAGTGGTCCTCCTGACGCAAGTAGCAACAACACGACAGAACCACCTCCTCCTTATGGTGATAAAAGTGTAAAATATAGAAGTACAATATGCTCGATATCATCAGCCTCTCTTCACTTTCCACGGTTAACTTTTGTTTGGGGTGCTACCCGATGTTTTATTCTTTGTCGTGTTTGTTGATCCGTTCGTTCTTTCTTTTCTTCTTTCTTTCATAATATACTGCCATAGCAGGGAGCGCCATCAATACAACATCCTATTATACTTAAGGAGAACAACTCCATGGAATACCGTAGATCACCCACCCATCCATAGACTAATACAAGTGTGACCGAAAACGTGAGTAGGCTGGTGTGATTTTACTGCAAAAATATCAGATTTAGCATGGGGATATTAAAATTTAATGAGAAAATAGGCAAAAATACAAACCATGGATAAAACTAGTATGGATATTGTTCATAATATACAGGCTCCTGGTTGATTTTCGAAGTTTCAATAGTTGTAAATAGTTAAATTACCAAAATCCTTAAAGGTATAGCTTTGCAATACAGTAAAACTCAAATAATGAGCCATAAAGTACAAAGTTAAAATTTCCTATTTGGCGATGGAGGAACAATCCTATACTAGCAATCAATTTACTAATATTCAATAATAAAAAATAACATCAACCATCTCCACTACACCTCTGGTGATTGAAATTTATTTCCTATTTGGAAAGACCTCAACACTACAACTTTTCTCATGACTTTTCATGCCTGGTCCCCCTGCCCAGGGGGGGATCAAGCCATCACTTCTTATCTTCCCATTACTTTAGGATGCTTCTCCATTGTTCTCTCTTGAGGTCTACCCTCTTAGGATTCCCTTCTCCTCCTCCCAACATCTCACGATGTTGATTCTCATTTCTTCCCCACTTTTGCTCTAGCCTCACTTAGCTTTAGCATGGTCAGGTTTTTACATTTTCCCTATAACAAACAGCTAGGAATTTAGTTTGTAGTATACAATTAAGATAGATTCCTCCTGCTTCTCCTAGAAGTTGCTTTGGTCTCTTCAACAGGCTACAGTTGATTTTACCACCCTCCTCCTCTCTACCCTCTACAGGTGGTATTATCCTATTCAGTAAGTAATGCCATCTCTTTCAGAACAAGGAACTACATGAGAGATACTGGAATATACCAGTAGATACTGGTGGCTCAAGGAGGCTGCTTAGTTAAGACATGAACATGTTTCTGATAGTTGTTTCAGTATTTGGATCTACACCTCCTCTCTCCTTACCATGGCTCAATCAGCTGGCATCCTACTGCCTCCCATCTTGTATCCTGCAAGTACTCTACTATACCTCTTTTCAGCTGGTATCTTACTACCACTTTCACACTACTAGAGCAAAGGGACTGGATTACTTTGTCTTCCTCTTCTGCTCTTGGGAGCCCCTATCCTCATTCCCTCAACAGGACAGTATTATACAGTCTCAGGCTGGTCAAAATCACTCTTTGCTTCCTACCACTGTAACAGGAGGACTGCTGATTTCTGGTAGACCTGCCGTACTAGGGATTACTTTATAGGTTAGCTTTGCGGTGACCAGGGCTGCTATGGGCTTCTCTGGTAGATATTATGTTAGTTTCATTTGTACCTTGGGCCAAGATTTTTCCTTGTGACTTTCTGCTTGTCTTGAGTTGGGTTTCTGTTAGAACTGAGTTCAAGTGTATTGTAAGAATAGGTTTAATTGAGGGTGAAATGTGTGGTTTGCTCCATACCAGGGGACTTGGGTTGCTCAGTTTTTGCTTAAGACAGAGGATGGATACATGCTTTATGGTTTTGTTTGTACTATAGCTGATGCTGCATACAAGTTCTTGTACCTTAACAATCAACATATGATACAATAAAATAGAAAAATAAATAAATAAATATATAGTAAGAATAAATATAGTGCCTGTTATTTAAAATGTGAACCTGTTACATAGCCTGTAAGATTCTACACTGGTAATTTTCTGATGCTTATGAATATAACTGGGTCTGCATATTACCGCATATGCATGATACACTAATAATATCAAGTTTAACAACATAGAGAATAACTAATATGACCCAGATCTAAGTACTTCAGTAGTTAGGTATTGTTTACCTAAATCTTATCAAAACTTCACAAAAAGCTCCCATGGACTTCAGAAATCAATATGCCTTAAACACTATGTAGAAATACTACCTCTTTTATCAAACAATTGCAAATTGTAGCCTATGTGAATCTAAAAGATAACCGCAAGGTTACTTTATGCCCGGTTGGCATAAAAACTGGTGTTATAAAAAGCATATATTCAAATATCATCCAGTAGGCAAAGAGACAAGTAGTGGAGCCAGGAGGAAATAAAGACCTCTGTGTAACAGAGAATCTTATACTGAAAACGAACTGTGAAAAGAGCTCTACATCAATTCTCATTGAGAAGGAGAATCAGTATTTGGTTGCAGTTACATTGTCTGATAGTGAGCATTGTCAGATAACTTTTAAGTCCCTTAGTGAAATTGGTATTAGTAGACTGAATCTTTCTCTCTGTTTTTATATATATATATATATAAATTACTTCAATGTATATTAAATATTCTAATAGAATGTATATTTAAGCTGGGCTTAATGTGAGCAGTCTAACAGTAAGAAAAGTGCTAGCTGAAAACAATATCCATCAATGAAAACCTATAGAAAAGTATATCCCATTATCTGAGCAGAGAGCGGTAAGATTAAACTTTTGTTTAGAGCATTGTGCACAGAATTAGAAAGAGGTGATAGTTACCAATGAATCATACTTTGAAATAGGAACACTATGATGCTATTGTATATAAGGGATTTTAGGCTAGCTAGATGAGGCATTTCTTCTACGAAATCTCAATCGCAAGTTTCTGCAGTGAGTAACTATTATATTTTGGGGTCCAATACTCTATGGAAAACAAGGTAAAGTAATCACTTTTTTGATCTTTTATTTGTATTCAATAACACTTTAATATACAAAATGCTAACTTCAGTACAGGTTCTAACCTCCCATTTTACCTCTATCCAACTCCATACAATACTAAAAAACAGAAAGATGCTGCAGTCATTCAAGTATA